GTCAGTCTGTAGACTGCTGGTTAGTGAGACGGTATGCTGAGCTTTATGGGGAGATCCAGTGGATTGCGTGAGCTGATACTAAAGCTTCACTCAGGGACCTGGATCATGGAAGTCCAGTTTGGATAACACAGGTTGAGAGAACCTGTCCATAATGAGCAAGCATGAAACGACAGTGGAGAGGAAAAACTCCCCATTGGGAAGAAACCTCAGGCAGAACCAGGCTCAACATGGCGTTCTTCTGCCAGACTGGTTAAGATGAGTCAGGGAACGCAGTAAGAGTTGGGGAGTAATGACTCTCTGATGAAGTTTTAGCTACGATAGTGGAGGAGGGGCCGGAGGTGCGTCGAAACAGGGTCATCTGAATGAAGTCACACAGCACAACCGCCGCCCCTGCACTAGGTAGCAGACAGGTTGCGGATCGGAGACCGTCTCTCGCCGCTGAGTCCAACGTGTGGTTTTTGGATGTATAGTGTGAGCAGTTAGATCCCATCCAAGCGTCGGGCCGTACAGTGTAAGGACATACATCGTGACCTGTGAACTTTTAAACCATGCAATTTTGTCGTACATTTTGAGCTGTAGTTGAGATCAATTATATCATACAGAAGCACAGAACGCTGTATACAATATCTTAGAAATATGTAAGCATTCTTTAGTAAGAATTTAGCTATTATTTAGATATTATAGTTTTATTTATGTGTGTTTTTCTTTTTATTACATCTGGATATGACTCATGGCATATCCATGTCATACTCTGATATGATAGGCGGCAGTATGCACCTTGCCGGTCCTGCAGTGAATGTTGCAAAGCCTCTTTCCAAGGGTATCAACGAGAACAGTCCATGGTGGGGGTGTGAGGGGTCACTGATGATGTTACTGGCTTGGGGCAGGCAGCGCTGGGATGAAATGTCCTTAATGGATGGAAGAGGAGCCCCTATGTTCTTCTCTGCTGTCCTCATCAATCTTCTCACTTTCTTCTAGTCTTAGGAGCTGCAGCCTCCACACCCGGTTCTGGTCGTTGACGTCTCTGATGACGCCCACCACTGTAGTGTCGTCTGCAAACTTCACAATGTAATTGGTGGTGAAGCTGGGGAAGCAGTCATGTGTCACTAGAGAGGACAGCAGGAGGCTCAGGACGCAGCGCTGAGGGAAGCCTGTGCTTAGGGTGATGACATCAGAGGTGTTCTGTCTAACCCAGACTGACAGAGGGTTGCATTGAATCCCAGCTGTTCCATTTTCCTATCAGATGCTGTGGAGTGATGATGGTGATGAAAGCTGAAGTCCGGGAACAGCATCCGCATGTGAGTGTTCTTCTCCTCCAGGTGTGCCAGGCTCAAGTGGAGAGCAGCAGAGATGGCGTCCTCAGTGGAGCAGTTCCATCGATGAACTGGAAAGGTTTGAATGTCGGGGTGAAATGGAGACGATGTGTTCTTTAACCAGCCTTTCTAAGCACTTCATCATGATAGGAGTCAGTGCGACAGGCAGGTAGTCATTGAGTGAGGTGACCTGAGGTTTCTTTGGGACCAGAATGATGGTGGCAGACTTAAAGCATGCTGGCTCTATGGATTGGTCCATCATGGTGTTAAAAATGTCTGTGAAGACACCAGCCACCTGACCTGCACGTTCCCTGTACATCGGGGCCTGGGGCCTTTCTTGGGTTGACTCTGCTCAGAGTTTTCTTCACCTCAGCTATGTCAAGGTATAGTGCCTCCTCCCCTTGGTGGGGAACTGCTTTTATTGCTGGAGTGCTGTTTAGTGCCTCAAACCTCCCAAAGAAGTTGTTTAGTTCATTTAAGAAGTCAGCATTAGCAGCATCTACCGGGGGGAGGGTGTGTTGTAGTCTGATTGCCTGTATACCCCGCAACATCCTCCTGATGTTGAAGAGATCCTGGATCTCTTTCATTCTGCTTAGCTGGTTTGATGGGATGGTTTAAGTTGGCACGTGCTGTCCACAGTAGCTCTCTTTTACCAGACTTGAATTTTGAGTTCTGAGATTTTAGCGATTTCCGAACCTTCCTATTCATCCAGGGCCATTGGTTGGCCCGGGTGGGGATGTTCTTTGTGATGCTGACGATCATTCTTCAACGCATTTGTTGATGTAGGCTGACACAGTCTTGGCATACTCATGTACTGTATATATTTTTTTTTTTTGTTGTCATAGGTTCCTGCAGCTTAGAACATGTTCCAGTCAGAGCATTGGAAATAGTCCTGGAGTTTCTCCATAACCCCCTCAGTCCACATTCTGACCTGCTTCACTGTTGGTTTAGCCCTGATTAGCTGGGGCCTGTATGTAGGAATTGGCATGATGGATAGATGATCTAATAACCTGAGGTAGAAGCGGGGAGCTGCTCTGAATACATCTTTGATGTTAGAGTAGGCTAAATGTAAAATATTTTGACCCCGAGTTGCAAAGTCCACATGTTGGTAAAAATGAGAAAGCACAGTTTTCAAGTTAGACTGGTTAAAATCCCCAGGAAAGATGAAAACGCCCTCTGTGTGTGCAGATTGAAGCTTAGGGCCTGGTATATGACAGACAGTATAAATGACAGTCTGACTATTATCTGATTAAATAACATATTTGGCACCCCTACTGGGATGGACAATAAATATATTAAAGTTGCACAACAATAGCTAAAATATCTGCAAACCTAAAAAAAGGTGTGTCCTATTAAATTCCTGTCAGAAAGCTGTTTATTTTGCATTGATGCTTCAAAATTAATAAACACATTCTACTTTTTGACATATAAATCTTTATATTCTCTAGGTTTTTTATCATTTTAACAGCAACTTACATTAATAACCTTAGTTTTAAAAAACGTCAGTCATTTTGTTGAAAAATAATAGAAAATAGATTTAAATGAGTACTGCTGTAAAGAGGTTTTAAAGCTATGCATTTTTACTTCATTAATGAATATCTCATATGGTGTAAACCTTCTGTTTTCATCTTTTCTCTTTTACATCTTTAACTGTTTAAGGTTATTCGTTACTCATCAGCAAAATCACTGAACAAATTACTGTGCCCACAGCTACAGGACCTGTCCACCCACCTGCTTACACTTCTACATGTTTCCTATTTATTTAGGTAGCATATTTTAATTGTAAATTTAGCATAAACTGATCCTCAAATATCTAATAAAGTAATGAAAAAAAACGATTACACAAGGCAGAAATTTTGTCATGTAACAGAACAATATTATCAACAAGCACAATACAAAGTCTAAAGCTAAATATCTGCAAAAATAATCAACGTCTGGCAATAATCCTATCAGAGACCGAACCGCTCCTCAAATGAAAAGCTTAGAGGACATTGGCGGATCTGTAGATAAATGAAAAGCACTAACCTCAGTGCTCTTCAAGCAGCACAAAAACATACGCACATTTTTCTTCAGGAACAATTTGGCAAACTGTAACTACCTGGAAATCTGCTCAGTCCTCTCAATTTGTCAATGCTTGTTCTTTTAAGAGTTGATTCTCAGGGTCTAGTTTGTTTTTTTTTTTTTTAACACTAAGACGAAATTCTGTTTATCTTTTACAAAATAATTAAATGTTATGTCTCACATAAAAGGCTATGGTGTAATCTTCCCCGCAAAGTCTGATCTCTGAGTTATACTTTCTTTACCTTGACACAAAGTGTGGAGAAGCATCTTTAGATCCCATTAGCAATCAAGATGAAATTGACGTAGGTCAGTTGTGTTCAAAGTACGGTATGGGGAGCAGTTTGCGGTCCCTCCAACTTGACAAAAACAGCAGAAACTCAGTTGTCCTTCGAAAGAGAAATTACTTTGAATCTGTATCTGATACAATGCCTTTTTAAAAAGATGCTTTTTATGAAAGAGTTCAGCAAAGAGAAATAAAGCAACAGTTTTTACCAAAAAATTGACCTACATGTTAGCAAAAATGCCATAAAAAGTCTTAAAGCTTTTAGAAAAAAGAGGTGTTTTAAAACATTATTTGCAAGTTTTTCCCATTTGTTGTTTTTATTTATTTCTTTTTAAACAAGAAAAACCTGTGAGATTTTATGTTTCACATTAAAAATCCTGTAAAATGTTTTCTCTCTTCTGCAGAAATCAGTTCTTTATTTTATTTTTTGTAAACAGTTAAGCAGGTAGAATTGAATTCATTTTGTGGCCCTGAATTAATTTCAAATGGACAGTTTTGACCCATGTTGAAGACAGTTTTGCATATCAGTAGCATAGATTACAGAAAGTGTACTCCAAACAGACAACTGTTTTTGAGTTATTGTTTGCTGTAATGATGCCTGTAAAGATTTAAGCCCCCATATCTAGGTTATACCAGTACCTCCCTAAATCCAGCCATCATCTGGGAGAGGAGGATGGTTTGTGTGTGTGTGTGTGTGTGTGTGTGTGTGTGTGTGTGTGTGTGTGTGTGTGTGTGTGTGTGTGTGTGTGTGAGTGTGTGACTTTTATTTCACACTCAGAGTGTCTGGTTTCTTTATTTATCCAGGTCATTTCCACTGATGTGATAATAGCCCAGATTAGAGAGACAAGCTGCTGTTTTTGCAAAGAAACTGCAGAAAGATTTAAAGGTCCCACCATCTATTCATTTAAGTAAATAGTGTTTTGACATAAAAGATAACATGCGTACACCTGGTGACAACAAAAGTAATTCCAAGGCTGTATCTAGCTGCATCGAAAATAATTATCATAGCATAAGCAGGTAAGGTTCATAGATTGTAACTTCATTTTATGTGTTATATAATAACACTTAGTTGAGCTTTGACCTTGGATTCATGGAATGCATTACTATACTATATAAAAACTACTAATACATCCTGAAATGGAGCTGGATGAAACGCGGCCAGGATTGACGCCTGCGATTGGATGGACAGAGTAAATCTACTGGGTAATCCCCTCCTGGCTCAGGCTGTTACTTGGACATAGGGATTTATTGTCAGTGAACTGGGCTCCAGAGGACAGCTATCTCCGATAAAACACGCTGTGGACACAAACAGGCCCCCATACAGTCCCTGTAACGTGGATGATTCGACAGCTGTATTCCCATTTGCTGATGGGAAACAGGAAACACATCCTATGAGCCAGCAGAACAACCTGGACCATCTAAAACATTTCTCCATGATAGAGGCAACTGTTAATCGTTCACCGGTAGGCATTTTTGTTATCTAACACTTCTTTTACAGAAAAAGGATTTAAAAATGCAGCTATTCATGTAAGTAATGTTTTCTCTGCAAAGGTTACGAAAAGCATTCAGTTATGAATAGGCTAAAAGGCACAAAATTAAAAAATATGAAAAAAAAAATTGATACAAAAAACTGATGTGCATGGAAAATAAGAGTAAAATACATTGGTGGAAATTTGAAAATTGTTCATTTTCTTCTTTTCTATTTATCCACTGAAAAGTGTTTGTTTCATTCATTGTTTTTTTTGTTTTTTTTTTGTTAGATTAACATAGATATTCCAATATCCTCTCAACATTCATGCATTAATTAACTTCAGTGGAAAACAAACCAAAAAAGCAAGCAATACCAAAAAAAGAGACTTTGTTCTTTTTTTAGAATTCTGTGAAAATGATTTGTTCTTAAATAGGACACGTTAAATTTAAAAAGAAGAGAATGAACTGTTGAATAAACTGATCAGTGTCTTGAATATACTTGTGATATATCAGGAGAAATATCTATTTTTTATACAAGAAGCATCACATTTTTCTGTTCATCTTTAAATCCTAAAAATAAAAACTTGTGGCTTTGGTAACAACACACTGCAGTGAAATAGCATTGCTACTTCTAATTTTTTAGATACTTCAAATACAATATCTGTATTCATCAGCAGGTTTTGTCACTGATGTCCAACAACTTACAGACATATTTTCTGCAATCAATAATCAAATGATAGCTGCTACACTTGTGCAGTATTTCAAACTGCTGTAGCTTTTCTTAAGGTTTAAAATAATTTTGTGCCCATAATGGAAAGAAAGGAAGTGAATTTAAACTTTAACTCACATGCAGTAAAACATTAGTTATGTCCATTTCACATATACATTTGTATCATATATCTATTATTTATTAATCAGTTCACTAGCTTTAAGAGCCACTCAGAATAAAGTACACATGAAAGGAGCTTTTACTTTGCAAACTAATTATTTGATGAGGTGCAGACTGGAAGCTGGATGTAAAACAGGGCATTTTGGTTTATATTGTAATAGGAAAACAAAATCCCACAAAAGAATTTAAGTTGGTCCATGAGGAAAAATATCCTGTCGTTTTGTTATGTTAAAAATAAGATCAAATTGTACTTTATAGCTCAAAACCCCAATCACCCCTAGTGTTTTGCTATTGTAAGCATCCATCTGTGATTAAGCCTTTTATCTTGTTGACATAGCTACTGCGGAAAAATGTATGATAAAGTACAAAATTAGTTGTAAGCCTGTTTGATTCTGTGAACATTTAATTGTCTGTAGCAAACAAAGAACCATTTGCCAAGTCCATTTAATAAGGATGTGTAAACTGATTTACAAAGGTCCTCATAAATGATGACAGCTGTGCTCTTCTGAAAATGTTGTCCTAAAAGTTTACACTTGCAGGCTGTGCTATCTGATAATCTTTATTATACCCCTTTTCCACCTCCAACAGGCATTGGTTGGGATGTAAAGAAGAAAATATGCCCCTGGTCAAGAGAAACATTGAGCCTCAGCACTTGTGCCATGGTGCAGTGCCTGATGGGATTGGTAACGAGCTGGAATGTGTGACCAACAACACGTTATCTGCCATCATCCGACAGCTAAGTTGTCTGAGTAAGTCCTAAGTGTTAACAGTGTATGTTCAAATACCTTGAATCATATCCTGGAATGAATTGAATTCCAGGATTGTTCTTTTTTCTTCTTGAAACAAACCCAGAAACTAATGAAGCTGTAAAGTTTATTTTTTTTCACAATTTGAAAGCTACAATTTCAAACACGTGTATTGAACCAATTTTCTTTATCTAAAATTGACATTGAACTGATAAAATAAAAACAAAATTAAAAAATGTTATAGACTAGAGTTCATCAATCTTACTGGAGTAGGATAAGGTTTTTCCCTCTACACTGCAATGTTCCATTTAGAATTTCCAACCTCTGAGTTGGACATTTTAACTGAGAAGCCACTAAAGGTCAGACCTCTGAGTGGAGAATGGATGCTTCTTACTTTAAGTATGTAAGATTGATTCCATCATTTTTATGTACTATTTTATAGTGTTCATAAGGCAATATGCCTTTTGAACACTAAAAAGTAGCGTTCATAAGGCATAGTAGTGAACACTATCTTCCTCTTTATTGCCAGTGCACATTTGTTCATGAAAGAAAATACCACTAGACAGTAATTACAATGTCTAAGCTTTTATTTTATGCTTTTTAAAGTCAAAACTGGACAAACACACCATAGAACTCCTTTCTTATTACTTAGCATCTAACCAATTGTAGATTTTAATAGATTCGCTTCTAACTAATTGCAGCAGTGTTCCCATAAGGTAGGGTGCGGGTGTGATTTTTCCGTCCTCTAAAAGGCATTAACACCAAACATTTTATTTTCATGACTTGCACCAAGTCAGAGACACCCTGAAGACTCCCAGTGTTCTGTAAAGAATATAACTCCGGGTGTTGTCCATAGAAGGGATATATTTCTGTTATGAAGGTTTAATCTTTGCAATCGAGATAGAAAAAATAAGACGGGAAAGTTTTCCTCTTTTACATCTGTCCCATTGCTTGTAATTCGACATGTATGTTTGTGTATGTTTGAGGTAGTATGTGTGGATTAAGTGAGGTTATGCAAGCTTAAAGCTTAAAGCTCTGCCCAACAGGCAGATGAGATGGAGAGTAGGTGGATGGGGACTTAAAAACTCATGGTCTAAGGAAAGCTTTTACTCTAAGTGGATTGAGATAGTTCCAGTGGCAGCATGCAACAGTACGCAGCAAGTTTATATCAGAATTAACACAGCCGTTTTTTCCCTGCTCCATTTCCTGTAATATTTTTCTATGTGAAAGTGTGTCTTTTTTATTTTGTCCGTATTAATGGGGTGTTTTCTGAAGTTTTATTCTTTCTTTTTTTTTGTTTGTTTGTTTCTGTTGTAGGTAAGCATGCAGAAAATGTTTTTGGGGAGCTTTTTAATGAGGCCAACACCTTTTATACTCGTGCAAACTCTCTCCAGGATCGGATTGACCGCTTGGCGGTCAAAGTTACCCAGCTGGACTCCAATGTAGAGGAGGGTCAGTTCACTGAAAAACAACCTGTTGAAACATTTTTTTGTTGTGGTTTTCTTTTTTTTTTATAACATCATTGGTTTATAACATACTTTTATCTGCTCTCTTGCTGTTTCATAGTGTCTCTTCGAGACATAAACTTGAGGAAGGCCTTCCGAGGCTCATTGGTCCAGGACCAGCAGGTTTTGTCCAAAGGCAGCACTCCCAGTTTTGTTGCAGAAATATATGATGGCTGTGACAAGCCTCCCCCTCTTGGGTCCCTCACTGGTTACAGGTGCTGCATATATTTTACATCAACCATCAAGTCACTTTATAGTTTCAGACCTTGCAAAAAGTTTTTATTTTTTACAAAGCAGAGAGGACTCCAATGATGCAATGAAATTCTATTCGGACCCGTCCTATTTCTTTGATCTGTGGAAGGAAAAGATGCTTCAGGACACCGAGGAAAAAAGAAAAGAAAGGCGGAGACAAAGGGTAACAGTGCAGCCTTGGTTATAACAGCCCTGGTTATGTTTCCTAACTTTTGAATAAATATTCACATTTGGTTGTCTTTCTATCACTCGTTCCCAGGAACAGAAGCGATGTATGGAGAGCAGCACACTCCATCGGGAGGTGAAGAAAGTGAGGAAGGCACGAAACCGCAGAACAGAATGGAATATGATGGCTTTTGATAAAGAGCTCCGTCCAGATCACCACCACCCAAAAACTCTTCGACGAGGAGCATCATCAGAGGGCTCGCTGTCTCCAGATGGCAGGTTAGGGTTTCTATTTAACCCCCTTTTTAAAAAAGAAAAAAATCTGCTTATTTAAAAAAAGCACTCTCATGAGTGTGTGTATTTTGTGGTGTATATTTCTGCATGTTAGAGATAAAGATACAGATTTGTTAAAGTTGTTAAAAGAGCAAAAACTGGAATACTGAAAAGGGGACTAACACTACTATTTGAAATATTTTTTTTTAAGGTTGTGCATCCTTTATGTAAAGTAATGAAGACATTATAACCTCATCTGATAAACTCAGGGATGTACCAAAGTGAATCTGGAAGATGGATTGCTGTAAATGCAAAATAATTTAAGTAGCTAATTTGATTTCACAGTTACATTTTCAATCATTTGCACCAAATGGTTCTTTGTTATAGTACCTTTGCAATTTTATCAAAAAAAAATGCAAAATGAATTACACTGTTTTGTTCTCCTGAAATAAGCAAACATTTACTGTGTGTTACAACAAAAAAGGCACTGAATTCTATAAAGCAGAGCAAAATACACTTTGCGTTTGAGTTTCAGTCAATCATTTAGTCATATTTTCTACTTGCAGAAATGAAATGTTTTAGAAAGCCTTCTAAAACAGTAATCCTCAAAACCACATCAGATCTCATTCAGTATGAGTTTACAGTCTTCTTTCATTTGTGCAGGGATTTTACCAGATATATTTAGTGATTTTATTGCGTTCAGATCCTGCAAGCAAGAGAAAAAAATATACTGGCCCAGTTTCTTTTTGCATAGAGTAAGGAAAAGGAATGCAGCAAAGAATCTCATGATCGGGACTCAAACATCTGACCGCTGCATTGAGGGCTGGCGTCTGCATACCCACACACATTTAAAAGAATCCGTCTTTCTAGATGCCACTTTATTTATCAAGTCATTTTATTCATGTTATCAAATTAACTCAGTCAGCAGAGATTTTCTGCTATTTATTTCTCTAAATTTTTACATCATAAAATAAAATTGTTGTATGGTGTCATAAAGTCTAGAAATGCAAATTGAAATGGGATATGTATTAAATACCCTTCACATACTCAATAGCATGTTAGCTTTTCATTCCTGCTGTATCGTATGTGATAAGCATTTGGTGGGGGGGGGGGACCATCTGGATATGCGAAGGCATCTGCATCATAATCTCCTTCCCTGTCATTGTTTATCCAGGCCTGACCTTCTGGACTATCCAATCCCTCCAGTACCTGTTCATGCTGCTTGTAACTATGCCAAGTCTCATGATTACATCCCAGGAAACGCACATCCCTCACCACCTGTGGAGCATGAATACCACAGTATCGATATCAATTACAAGGCAGTAACCTATGCTGCAACAGAGCCCCATGTTGCAGACAGAATAAACGGCTTTGGACGTCTGGCTACAGACTGCAAGTATGTATTGTGCCGGTCAGAGTTTACATGCAATATTTCCAGCATGAATGTTGGATTAATTTGGAGTTTTGAATGTTTGATTTGAACGTACATTTTTTTTTTAAGTTGTCACGATTTCTGATTATTATTCTTTCTGCTCCCTTTTACTCAGGACTTTAGAATGTTTGTCTTTGTGTTTCGTTTATTATTTGGCTGCAATATATGAAAAAAAAGAAAGAATAAAATAAAAAAAATATACAGTGCATAAGTTAAAATATATACATTCTTTCAAATCTATAGTCATACATACAGAATCAAATGCTGCTCACATTTGGCTAAATGTGTGTTGCACATATCAACAAGCTCCTGCCATCCTTTGAGAATGGGCAGAGTTTGTTTAAATTGCTTCTTTTCTTGGCTTTTTTGGAAGGAAATGGAGGTTTATTTTATCTCATTGGCTCTTTCCAAACGTAATATAAAAAGCAAAAACAGAAGTAAAGTAAAGTGGATGGAAGTAAAGACATTTTATTCATAACCTTTGTCATATCTTAACTGGTTGATGTGCTGGAAGAAAATATCTAAAAGTTTATAAACTATTTCAGAAGTTTGGTTTTAGTATTCTGTGCCATTCTTAAGCTACTTTTGTTGTGTGTTTGGTGCCATGGTATATCACGGGAAAAAGATACAAATATCCTTAGTCCCAAGTGCTATAAAGCTCTTTATTAATTTTGATCAAGCATGGCACATTAAAAAAAAATGTATAGTGGTTTTATTTCTTGTTGTTGAATTTGATATTTGAGCTTTTATGTGTGGAATAAGCCTTGATTATCTTTGCCTGACTGCTGCTGTGCACTACATTTTCCCATGAGGGACATTAAGGAACTGAACAAAACTAAAGTAAACTAAACTAAAGTAAACTAAACTAAACTGTGGCTGAAGGGTTATGTTTTATCCTGGAAAAATAATTTGGGACCTGTGGAGATAAAAAAAAAAAATAGAGATTAACAATAAATGTAATCTTGTTCACTCAGGTATTGTTGATAAAACTGGCTTTAGCTGTATGTTCTTATCCAAACATTTTAAGGCCCCAAATTTATAAATTTCATGCAAACAATAAGTTTATATAAACTTTAAACTGATACTAGATGCACTGCAAAAACGGTCTAGAAATAAGTGAATATTTCTTAAATTAAGTGTATTTACCCTCAATTTGAGTAGGTAAATAAAGATGATTTGCCAATGGAATGAGTATTTTTATTTCTAATATAAGATAATTAGATAATATGCGCTTGAAATAAGACAATGCAATTGTTTTTTTTCTTATTTTAAATGTAAATTTTGTTGTTCCATTGGCAAAGGGTGTCACTTACCTCCTCAATTCAAGAAAAAAATTACTTATTTTAAGAGAAAATGACTTATTTAGATTCAAATGTTGGTTTTCTAACTCTGCTGTTCTTTCTATCAAACAGCTTCATTCCCCAGCCTCCTCCCAAAGCCCCCCCCATCCCCTCAGCCCAGACTGCGTTTGGCTTTCCACCAGCTCCGCTGCATAATGGAAATGTTCACATCGGACCAGGTTACCCATTCCCACCCGTACCTCCTCAGGGGCCATGCACAGCCCCGCCTCCCCCAGGTCCCCCACCTCCACCTTTGCCACCCCCTTCTGTGCCCTCACACCCACAACGCCACAATGAGAGCTGTAGGGCCGAAACAAAACCAGTTAGAGATGCCAGAAGTGACCTGCTTTCTGCCATTCGAATGGGTAAGTGTGACTTATTCAACATATTTTGGAGAAAAGGTTTGCCTCTTAAGCTTAATTAATGTTTTCTTTCTTTTTTACCATTAGGTATCCAGCTGAAAAAAGTTCAAGAACAGCAAGAACAGCAAAACAAGGGGGAGCCAGTGGGGAACGACGTGGCCACCATACTTTCCCGACGAATTGCAGTTGAATACAGTGACTCTGAGGATGACTCTGAGTTTGAGGACAATGATTGGTCAGACTGACCTAACACAAGCCGAAACACCTCATTGAGTAGTACTTTAAATGGGATGATCTTAAAGAAAGATAAATTGTAATAAATTGTGCTTAGCATTATTTGGCTCCACCCATTGTATACACAGAACCACTGCTGAATTGGCAGCTGTACTGATTGTAAATCTATTGTAAATTTGTATTTCTTATTTTGCACCATGATGAGAATATTTATGTATTTACACAAGCAATTTATGTTTGATCAATGTTAAAATGTTAGTCTTTGTTCCTATAATATTTTCCCTTCATAGCTGTACTGGACTAGCCGAGCTAGTTAGCCAGACTAACTTACATGGAGTGAAGATCAGACTCGTGAGGCCCAGACACTCCGGTCTAAAACAGACCAAACAATCACAGGAGGTGGGAGTTTATGCTTGCACTAGAGTTACTCAGGGTGCATGGTGTGATTTTTAATGATGCCCTTTATTATAAAAATAATATTATAAAATATATTATATTATATTTGTTGCTGGCTAGCTCAATTGGTAAGCCGCCCATCCTGCAAGCAGGAGGCCTGCTGATGTACCAGCTGATGGGAATTAGCTGCCAGTGTGGGTCATTAGGCAAGACTCTTCACAATAATCCCTGCTTTGGGGAGTGGCGCCCTAGTGGTTTGGGGCATTGCGCTTGGAATCCTGAGGTTCTGAGTTCGATTCCCATTTCCAAGGACTGCCACACTGGCTCCCGAAACAAACTCTTCACCCCGGGAGCTGCACAATGGCAGCCCACTGCTCCCCAAGGGGATGGGTTAAATGCAGAGAGGTCATTTCACTGCTCTGTACTTCGGACTGTGTAATGAAAAACATATCCTGGATGAGCTGATTATATACTCAGAATTTCAACAACTGCTGTAGCAGCTTTCCTTTTTTTTTTATTCATTTTTGGCTCACATCCGTAGCTATCTGGTTGGTTCTAACCTATTTAACCTGACTGTGTTTTTCCCACCTTTGGAATCACTCAGGCTATACTCACTCCTTTCCAGAGGATTTACTTTAGCCTGACTGACCAAACCAGGCTTACAAGGCAATGCTTGAACACGTTTTTCACGACCTATTCAAGACAGTTGTAGTGTAATCAATAAATCAATGTGCTATGTATAATTCATTAATTTTACTTATGCATTTTCAATATATAGTCTATTATTTCAATAAAAGCATGAATTAAAAGCATTACAAAAACTTTTTTGACTGAAACAGAATGTGAGAAATGAAAATAGACCCTTTTTACAACACTTGTTCCCCTCACCTCAACGAGGAAATCAACACAGGTGACAGAGTTGGAGAGCTACCTGCTTTCTAACCTGTGGATATAAATAATAAACTACAAAACGCTACAGAGAATGGAAAAAAAACTAAAGGAAAACAGCTCAAAAGCCTCCATGTGGACCAAGCCAAATGCACCAAAACAATATGTTAGGTTCATGCAGCACCAGAGTTGCAGGGAGGAGAAGAAATGCAGGAAGATTCAGATGAGGAATAGAAAAGAGAGGAAATAGAGAACAGCAACAAATTCAGGGTGAGATCAGGATAGCTCCTAAAAGCCCGGTAAGACGTCAAAGGAAATCTTAGCACTGGCAGAACTAATACAGGAAGAATTAAGGACATTTATTGGCCTCAAAAAGAGATGATTTCTCTTTTTGTAAAGAGATTGGCTGCTAGCATGGACTAATAAAATCATATATTTCCACAATAGTGATATTAATACTATAAGAAAAAGACATTTTTTTAATATCATAATGCAGTAGCCTATTAGTGAAATATTGGCAAAATTGTTTTCTCAAACAGTTTTTTCTTCAAACGAGTGACCTTTAATGGGCACACTAAGGTGTATAGATATTTCCAAAATGTTTCTGGTAATGTGGGTTATGGGTTATAATTGTATGACTGAAAATTTGTCTAGGCACATGTGAATGTGTATATGTATGTTTATATGTACATAAATAAATTTATTTGCTAACTTAATGGACTTTTGAGTAGTATAGATACATAAGCGAGCAGGAATCTCAAAAATTGTTGGTGTTAAGGATTGGAGGAGAGAGAAGGTGTATGATTGAATCATTTTCAATACTTAAAAACCCTTTTCAGATTTATCCACAAATTAGTTGTGTATAATAGTTTCATATAGTTTATTTAAAAAAAGAAAACAATAGAATATAATTTTTTTCCCATGAGTGTTTTTTTATTTCTACTTTAAGTTGCATAAGACTCCATCCTTTGCCTGTTTATATACGTTTTTTTTAAATGACAAAAATCTGATAATTCATTGGTTACTTGGTGCTTAATTAGCCTTCTTAACAAATATTCTTTATTTTCTTTATTTAAGTTTCTTTACTGTAATATTTGAAACAACACAAGGTATGAATCTTTTCTTCAGTATGCTGTTTGTCTCCTAATATTGGGCCATTTTCTGATCCAAGGCCAGCACTGGTTCCGCTTGATCAAAACTGGCTAATTTAAAAAAATCCAATAATTTTTTTAAGCTTAAAATTTTAATTATATAAATTATGATTTACATCATAATTATATGATATATTATATATGAGGGATTGCCTTCGAGTTGATGAGTCGATGCAATCAAGTGGCTTTCTTTAGATAGATAATCAATTTGACTGTATGATCTGGTGAACTGTAAAGTGTCTTGAGATGACATCTGTTGTGAATTGGTGTTATATAGATAAATTGAATTGATTATATGAAAAGAAATTCTATAAAGTCTCTGTAGGAAAAAAAACCTCCACCAGCATAAATAATAGATGCCATGACTGGCTATCGTCTGTCTGTGTTCCAAAGTGTTAGGGTTCCTTTTTGTGCTTTACAGCCTCAAGGTAATAGGAAACTGTATCAGTGCAGACAAAAGGCACTGTTGATGTTATAAATTTCTGTGGGATAAAATTTTATCTAATCCCACCAAGTTTAAATGTTTATTTTAAAGTTAAGCACTATATTATCATGTTCTTTACTATTTTAATGTTAAATGTTTTGACTTTTTGTATATTTTCTCTAGAAATTGAAATATCTGCCCTTATATTATGTGCTGCATTTTTTATTTATTTAATGCTTTAATAATATAGTTTTATTAACCTTTTATGTGACTTCTGTCCCTCATTACACCTTTCTGTATTTTTTCTTGGCCCTCGAGAAACTATGTGGTAGTTTGATTGTGAATTTACGTTAATTTTATATAAAGTTATGTTTTTTTTCCATCATGATAAAGACATTTTTTTCAGATGTTTTTATTTAATTAAGATTCTATACTGTTTCTATTTATATGAACTGTTTTAACACTAGAAGTCCC